TAATGACTTTTTTAAAGTGACGCGAACACGAAGAATGTTTGGTTTCCTATAAGAAAATTTGGATTTTGATATGCTCTAATGAAGCTTGTTTATTCTTCTGACTGATTTTTCATAATTGAATACGTACCAACATGTTAAGATATTTTAGGAAGATGGTTATTCATAATTGAATTTGGAATGTTGCTCCTCTAGATACAATATTCCACATATTAATATGTTGTATTGCTCTAAATATTTCGTTGACATATATATTACCGTCAATCTGAATGTTTGCTTTCTCATCAAAGAAAAGTAAAAAGATTTTGAGTGAGCTCAAATGACGTAAAATTGTTAGGTTAATGTACTTTAAATACGAGAACTCGAAGTAAAATAATGTTATTAGAATCTTTAATAAGTGACGTGGCAAGAAAGTGGCAAGCTCAAGTGAAGCGAGATTGTTAAGGCATTATACTTCATATGCACAAGCTTGAAAGAAATGACATTGCTAAGAAGTACTGGTAACATAGAATTTTTTTATATACAAACATAATTCAGTACGTATGAGTTTTAGAAAAACTTATATAATTTAAACCGTATCTCATTAAAAGAGAAATTGTATGTTTTAACAGGTAAAAAGATTATTTCGACTTTAATTGTTGTGGGATAAGAAACATCTGTATATAAATATCTTTTTATTATTATTGACGTATTAGAATTCAAGAAACTGAATTAATAATGTTCTGAAATACTTACTCAACATTCTTCTTGTCTGTTGAGTCATGTTTGATTGCTTTTTAACCGATCTACATAGTTATTGGAGCTATATATATATATGACATTTTTATTTGTATATTCTCCAATAAATCTCACATGAAATGGAATTAATATTAAAATATAAAATAAATAATAAAGTTAAAGTCATAAATTAATGATTCTATATATAAACATGTTCTAATTAACTAGTTAAATGTTTACATTGAGAGAGCTTAATCCCACCTATAAGTCAACTGTATATATATATATATATATATATATGTATAATATAAAGTTATTATAGGACACAGTAATAGTTTGGTATTATATAGTGCTTATGCATGTTTAATTGTGCTGGGTAATTAAACAAGAAATGAATAATTAACTAACAAGCAGTCTTAATTTTCTTCCATGGAAAATTTATTTTTTCTACAGAAAAGATTTGAATGAAGAAGTCGGCTACCGAACAAAGTAACTCTTTCTTCTCAGTCTCAAATTGAATGAACCCCTTAATTCTCACTCCATGAAACCCACATCATCATCCATTATTTCCCTCTCTCTCTCTCTCTCTCTATATATATATATACATATACATCTATGTATATCATATTAATATATAGAATATATACGACGACTTATAATGAATGTCAAATTAAAAAGCAACATATTCCGTCACTATAAATATGGGTCAATCTCTCTCAACTCCATGAACATTAACACAAAACAGTATTACCATTGTTTTAATTTGCAATATATAGATATAATCAGCTGTTGATAATCTCTCTCTCTCTCTCTCTCTCTCCTTCTCTAGATATATATAAGTTTTGTTGGGTTTTGACGAGAGAAAATGCCGATGGGAAAAGAGCATTTGTTTTGCCGTCATTATCTTCTACTCTTTTCATTCTTAATTATCATGTGTCTATTACAGTCTGGTTTTGGGAGCTACCAGGACGAGCAATCTCCTGTAAATGATTATCATCATCCTCAATATCAACCTCATGATCATAAGGGTTTGGTTATGGTGATGAGGAGGTTTAGCAGAGCTCATCCTCCTCAGCCTTCACCAAGAATAGTTAATGTTGATAGATATGGTGCAAAAGCTAACGGCAGAGATGATTCTCAGGTACCCATTAACTTATATATGTACATCTGTATGTATGTATATGTGTATGTATATTATGTAGGTTTTGAGGTTCTGTTAATGGGAAAATTGCAGGCTTTCAAGAAAGCTTGGAGGGCAGCTTGTTTAGCCTCTAATGGAGCTGTTTTAGTCGTTCCAAGGAACAAGATTTATCATCTTAAGCCACTTATCTTTTCTGGTCCTTGCAAATCAACTCTCACATTCAAGGTTTTTAGATATCTTTAATTATTTTAATTATCTTTTTTAAATTAGTAACAAAAGTTTTTTAGTTAATTAAACCAGATTAATTAATTTAATTAATTGATTAATTGATAATTAATGTAGATTTATGGAACAATAAAGGCTTGGGTGAAACAGTCAGAGTACAGAGAGAGAAGGCATTGGCTTAGATTTGATAATGTTCATAATTTAAGAGTTACTGGAGGAGGCATTATTAATGGAAATGGCAGGAAATGGTGGCTGAACTCTTGCAAAATCAACAAAAAACTTGTATGTATATAACCCAAATCAAGTTATACACACACACACACACATATATATATATATATATGTATGTATTTATGTATACATATTTTATTAATTAGTAATTATTTGTTTTATATTTTTAATATTATTATAATGGTATCTAATTTTTTTTAAAAAAAATTTTATGTATGCAGCCTTGCAAGGATGCACCAACTGTAAGTTCATATCATACCCATTAATCAATTTTATTGCTTATGAAAAAAACAAGTATTAATTTTTTAATTATGAGTAATTATTATAATAAACTTAAAACTTTATAATTAATTAATTATTTATTTATTTATTTATTGCAGGCTGTTACATTTTATGAATGCAGCAACTTAATAGTATCAAATATTTGGTTCCAAAATTCACAAAAAATGCATATTTCATTTCAAAGTTGTTTATATGTAAAAGCTTTGAATTTGGTGGTGACCGCTCCGGAAAATAGTCCTAATACCGATGGAATTCATGTTACTGGAACGCGGAATATTCTCATTAAAAATTGTCTCATTCGAACAGGTAAAATTAATTAATTTATTTTTAATTATTAAAAAATTTGTTTATAATTAATTAAATTTAATTTCTGAATTTTGGGTTTTTTTTTTTATACAAAAAAAAAAAAAATTCCTTACATATGTATATTTTGATTATATTGAATTAGGTGATGACTGTATTTCAATTGTAAGTGGGTCAAAAAATGTAAGAGCAACTGGGATAACTTGTGGACCAGGTCATGGAATCAGGTCAGTAATTAATTTTCTCACTTGAACAGCCTAATTTTTTACCTAATTAAAGTTATACTTTAGTGGTATTAATGTTGATATTAACTAATTAATTAATTAATTAATTAATTAATTAATTGCAGTATTGGAAGCTTAGGAGCTGATAATTCAGAAGCTTATGTTTCAAATGTTGAAGTGACAAATTCCAAGCTTACAGGAACCACTAATGGAGTCAGAATAAAGACTTGGCAGGTACCTACATAATAATATAATTAATTTACTTAATTGTCTTTTAACATCTTAATTAATCTTGATTAATTAAACACCATACGACTAAAATTAATGTTAGTCTTTTTATTTAATATATTATCCCAGCATTTCAAGTTACTAATAAATTATATTCACTTTGCAAGACCAAAATTAATTTGCACAACTTATAATATTATTAAAAATTAGGAATAAAAGTATCTGGAAACAAAATAATATTTGGTTCAGTCGTCGGTTCACATGTTAAGAGAGTCAAAAACCGATCTATTTAAATCCGGTTTAGACTGAAAATATAGGAATAAAAATAAAATATAATTTTTAAATTTAATAAATCAATATATTTAAAAAATTGTACGGTCTTCGATTAGGAACTTTACTATTAATTGGTCCGGTTTGATTCGATCTAATTCGGTTCTAAACGATTGCTCGCGGTTATTAACAATAAAAACGGGAAAGGAGCCAATGGGCTTTGGCCCATTAAGAGAGTCGTTCGTTATTGGTAGGTAAGTAACTCTTTTCTAATTGTTCCAAAATGTATCATGCACACGTGTCTCTCTATATATATATATATATAGCAGTTAAGTTAGTTGGTAGTTGTAACAATAATCTGTCTACTACAACTATATCAAACAAATAAAAGGTCTTTGAAATCAACGGTAGTCATGTTACTCATTTTGGTCAATCTTTAGATCCTTCCGACTTTCAAGATTGAATAAGACTTGTCATCTATATATATATATATATTTATGTATATGTATATGTATATGTATATGTATATGCCCACAAATAATAATGGGTATAAAGAGAAATGTATTAATTATATTTAGTTGACTCATGCAGGGTGGATCTGGGTTTGCTAAGAACATCATATTCCACAATATAGAAATGAAGAATGTGACAAATCCCATAATCATAGATCAAAATTATTGCGACCAAGATGATCCATGCCCACAACAGGTAATTATAATAAAATAATATTTGTTAATTGATGTCAAATTTGTTTGCCCTTTGGTTTAAATTTTGATATTATATATTAGGAAGAGTTATATGTATATATATTTTTAAAATAGATAAATAAATAAATAATAAAAAATATAAGACGAACATAAGTAAACGAACATATACATGTAACAGGTACGAACTGACATAAATAACGCATTTACTCATGTTGTGATTGTGCTTGTTCTGACCTATTTATATATTCTAAAATTAATTTAATATAAATGATTAAACTATATTAATAAACAGCATAGTCACTCCATATATCTTATGTGACTATCACTAATGTAAACATACTCTATTGTAGTTCATCTTTCAGATTTTAGTCATGATTTTTATATTTGATATGTAATTAAATTAATTTCAGTCTTATCTTTAATTGAACTAATTGGGTATGCATATATACATTGTATATCTGTAATGGTGGCTGTAGGCATCGGCTGTGAAAGTGAGCAATGTGCTATATAGAAATATAAAGGGAACAAGTGCATCAAAAGTGGCAATAAACTTTGATTGTAGTGAGACTGTTCCTTGTCAAGGCATTTTGTTGCAAGATGTTGCCATTGCAAGCAAGCATGAAGAACCCACCAAAGCTTCGTGTGCCAATGTCATTTTAGACACTAGAGGAGATGTATTTCCGTATTGCTTTAATAATTGACATACAAAAGCTATCAGGATTTGTAAATATCATTTATTATATAGTTTATAATTAGGAGTATATCTCACATCGTTTCAATTCAAATAAATTACTCTCTTATAAATATATTCCTTGTATCCTTCATTTTAAGTTCATAAAATAATTTTGTAACTAGCATAAGAGAGATGAAGTGACATTTTCTAATGAAACTAATATAAATTATTGCATAACCAAGCACATCAATACAAGTATACTTTTGTAAGAAATATCATAACACAAGAAACTAACAATAAAGTGCTTATGAGTGCATAAGTTAATAGTAGATCCCTCGACTGACCCAATAACTAAATATATCTATAAAAGCTGTTAGATCTTTAGTGTTGCTTAAATTGTGAAATGTTTCTACGTATTTTTTAACAGTTTGATATTAAGTGAAGAAATGTTTACTTTCAGGTAGTGTCTTCTATAAAGCAAACACATTTATATATATACATGGAAATTAAAGGTACGTAAAACAAACATAAATTGACTCTTGCGTATGAATAATCACCTCTTGTTGTTAGAAATGATACAAAAATTGAGACATTGTTTAAGTTATAAGTTATTAATGGATAGATCATGCTTAAATATAAAATTTTGTCCTCATAGAAAAGTTCAAGGTAAGGTCCCAAATAAAGTGACTAAGATAGGTGTTTCGACCACATGCCAACTGATTTATAGTTTTTCATTATGTTTCTCATCTATTGTCTCTTGTTTCTCTTCTTCAATAGCAACATCTAAACGTTGCTAAAATAAAATATTTAGAACCTCATTTTACCATATGTCGAAATGGCTAGTGTCATTAAATATCTCCACCACACCTTACATTTGTCATAGCGATCTTTGTTATTTAAGTACTCTCTATCATTTTTTTCTCCAATTTCTACTTAGTAGTTGTTAATTTCGAATGCCAAAATCTTTTTTGACATGAAAGATTATATTACACTGCAACTAAAAAGTATACTCAAAATTCTGGCTCTAATACAACTTGTCAAAGATTTGATACCAAACTAGTGAGTGAACGATTGAACTAGAAAGCACAATAAGAAAAAATTTCTAAGAAAAATTAAAGAGATCACAAACAGTCTCACTTATCTCTTTAAACCAAATTTAACCTTGAATTTTTATCTACTAATATATAATGTATTGATATAATTATTCCTAATAATAACTATTAAATAAATAAAAAATAAAGCAAATAATAAAATAAAAAGAACATCAAAATTTAATGAGCTTCTTAGATACAACAAAAATAACTATTATTTCTTTAAAAAAGTAATAGAAAGAGAAGTAAAAGACAACAGATGATAAATGAGTAAATGTCTGACTTTATAGGATGATTAACAAAGGATGAGGGGTTGCCTCTGTATAGTAACAAGGGCCCTCCATCTTGTCTCACTATCAAAGTCGGACAAAAAAAATAAATGTGGAAATAAGCCGCTTTTACATGTATTACATATCATGTACAAGTATGATAACTTAATCTCACATTAGAATTATATATGATTGTTAAACTCCGTATAATGACTCAAACACACATTATAAATGAGTTAAGTTTGAGTTTTTGAGGGTTATAGATTTTAGTTGAAAATTGTTAGATCAATAAATCTTAAACTTCAACAGTCACATGTCAGCCTAATAATTATCTACTGGTGTAATATTAAACATAGTAGCCTTTGGATTTACGATCTATAGTTTTAATAGAGAAAAAGTTAATAATGCAATCCCACAAAAAAATATATATGAAATTAGTGAAATTTATATAAGGGTTCAATTGGTACGCTATTAAAAACATGGATCTTAAATTTTTAAAATCTAAAATCCTCTATATTTGAAAGTTGTTGTATTTAATTACAGATCTTATAATAAGTATCCATATAGATAGAAGAATGATGAGGGTAGAGTATTGCCAAAATACAATTACGAAAATATATATTAAATATAAAATATTATCTTATAATAACAAATATTCTTGCCTGATATAATTTTAATACTAAGATATTTTTCTAAAATATATTGTGATGTCTTATTTCACCATACCTATTATAACAAGTCTTTAACAATATGTTCAATATATCATTATCTCTATAAGAAATTGTGAACTTATGTCAGACTTTATATTTCCGTATGTTCTTGATTGTAGGTTATATTATGATACATGTGTATGTATCGCTTAACTAATTATAACTTAAAACTTTTCAAATGTGAATATTAAACGAAAAATTAGCTATCCCATTTTAGTCTTTCTAAATTGACTTCATTGTACAATTATTCTTTTTAATTTTTTTTTAACTAATTTTTTATGTTAAGCACCAAAAGAAATAGTCATCGAGGGTTCAATTTTTTCAACCAAATTAGTCAACAATTTGATATCATGCTGCCTAATTATGGTTCAAAAACTACTTTAAAAAAAGTTTTTTTTTTTTTTTTGTGTGGGTTAAGTTAGGATATTTTGATAAAATGAAATTTTAATTCATACATTAATATAATAAATTATTAATATAATTAAATTCAATTCCAAACACCCAAGTCAAAATTTTCTGTCCATAGTTTGATTTCTATTCCAAATCACTTTGTTCTTTTTGTATTATTTCAAATTCTAATACCCATTTCTCTTTCTAGTAGAATTTTCTTTAGTATTTTTCCTTTCTCATATTATTATTATTTTCTTTCTCCCATATATATATATATATATATATATATATATATTAGGTGGGAATGTGTTATATGCATAATATTTGCCGAAGTTAGTGCTAACTTCTCTAACCTACTCTTTTTCCCAATTTGATTGGGCTCAATTTTTCATTGCCAATCACCCACATTATCATATTCTTTTGAATTATATATGACTATATTTCTACACCCACCAATTATATAATTGATTTATTTTTACTATGATGCTGAATTCTTTTGGCTTAATCGTAATGTGTTCCTCATTTTTACTTGACCTTTGAAAAGGTTTCTCACTTTTCAAGTCTTAAAATTAAAGACTTTATTTTTTTTTTTATTTTAGACCAAAGTGATCTTTCTCTTACATATACATCCATTTATAAATTAAATTTTACCCAATGATATATTAATAATAGACAATTATATTTATACATATATATGATCACTATGATGTCAAAATGAAACAGCAACTTTTCTTTTTCTTTATATATATATATATATATATGTATGTATTGGCATCACCTTGTATCCTACTTCTTGTATTCTTCATTATCAAAATGAACCCAAAAGGCTATTTTGTTCTTCATCTCCTGCTTCTTGTCTCCTTCATTATCTCCTCATTACCCTCCATTTCGGGACTTAATTACCGACATAACCCGATATCTCATTATCATTATTATCACCATTATCACCATCATGATCATCCATATTTCCTTACAGATCAGTTTGATGATTACAGTCATGGCATAGTATCCAACAACATCAATAAGGGCACAAGGTTTGGTTACAGAAGTAGGTTTGGTTACAGAA